CACGTGATCCCGAGATCTTTTTCAAAATATTATATGGAAGAGGGGAAAACAACATTGACGATACATCACCAGGATATGAACAGGTCATGGTAGGTGGTTTACGTGAAGAGGAAGACGGGTGCAATCTTCTCTGATGGATGGCTTCCTTTGGTTATGCACTATCCACTCACTTCTGGAACCACTTGCAAATTTACCATCATCAACCCCGCCGAGCTGCCTCTCGATGTGTCTAATAACCGAGAGCAGAGTCACTAGTGGTGATGGTATGGTATGTCTTGAAAAAGAAGCGGCTGAGTAAAAGGACTTTGTTGTTTAATGGTGTGTGCTTCTTCAGTTTTATGTTATGACTATGGGACCTATTTAAAATATGTTGTGTCTTTCTATCTACTCTTTAGTTAAGATTTATTATATTCAGGAACCAAAATGTTTTTAATATATTGTGTTGCAATTCAATTTGAGGCAGATGTAGAAGAAACTTTTCATCATCAGAGCTATATTGTAAAATCAAGTTTATGAAATACATGAACCTAAGCAAACAAAATGACTCCAGTATGATCGTACTAAGAACTCAAGAAACATAGCCTCTGAACCAGTGACTTGCAGGTTACATCATAATAACTCTGAAGAATCGAGTTTTCAGGCATCACTGTATCTGAAACGACCAAGTTACAATATTCTCCAGATGCAAAAAATCATTCAGCGCCGAGATGATGGAACCGCAGATCTTCCTTTCTTCCCCGAAATCATTCAAAAACCATACGATCCTCTCGATGAATACCCTTGAACAAGAGTGTTGTGAGTGACAATGTTAGACCTAATTCCAAAACTCTCCATGATTCCTAAAACTTCCTTGGCTTTCTTCAACTTCCCTTCCTTGCACAATACGTTGATCATTATATTGTACGTGTATAGATTCGACTTAATCTTCATTCTAAACATATCAGCGTAGAAGACCCATGCGCTCTCTGTTCTATTCAACCTTGACAACAAACTAAGAATGCAATTACAAGTTTCAGTTTTTGGATCAAAACCTTTTTCTTTCATCAGGTAAAAGCATTCTACAGCTTCATCAACCATCTTCAATTGACAACAACATCTAACGAGGAAATTGAAAAGAATGGTGCTTTTAGTCTCTAGTTGATCACGGGCAAGTACCAGTTCATCGAAAATGTCTCTAACACTAATAGAGTTCTTACCACTACTACTACTAAGTACTTGTTTCAGCAACTGAATAGTGGGGTTTGGGAGAAGGGAGCTTAGAGACAACAGCGATGGCTAACCACTGTGTTGGGAAGTCGAGGCAACGAAGATCGATGCGGTTGACGAAATTGAGAGATAAATCAGGAGTCTTGATGAGGCTGAGCAAAGTTGTTGATACAAGGGAAGGTGTGAGATTGTCCGAAAGTTGTTCGACGAAATGCCACTGAGACGATAATACAGACTCGAGCAAAATATCAGAACTTATCGGTGGTGGATGGTAGGGGTAAAGAAGAAATACGTGCGGCGGTAGGAGAATAGCCGGTGCCGGAGAGAATTGAGATTCGGTGGCGTAAGAGACAGGGGAATGTGAGTTTTCTCATGGCCGGTGTCGGAAACAAAGAACACGACAGAGGTAGAAATGGCGTAGAGCAAAGAAAGGGTCTTGTTTGATTTTCAGGGAAGGCGAATT